CGTGGTTCACTTTCTAAAAAGGCCATTTAGTTCTCTTTGGAATGATGTAAAAACGAGCGTTCTTGCTCATTGCATGCTTCCGAGAAACATGCAAAACGGGACGGAAAACATGAAATTTTGCAATAATCTTGCGCCACCCTTGCACAAAACGACGATCATTTGTCTAAGTTCATAAACAACAGAAGACTGTATTTTTTCTACATAACCCCCCCCCCTGACTTTAAAGCTGGATCCGCCCCTGTTGGCATGTCACCTACACGATTATATTTTGCCTAGCAGCTTTTAAGGAAAAACATCCTTACGGCTCAGTTTTGCGTATTAACTTTCCACTAATTGTTCTCTAACCGGATTAATTACCAGGTTGTTAAATTAATCATTGGAAATGTAATCAATAATAATAATATAAATGAGAAGTGAAGTGGCAACGCAGAACTGCAACCTGTCACCTGTCACTCACTAACTGTGTGTGAAATCTAAGCGTTTTTTGCTTTGATTTAATGTACTTTTATGAGTGCTTATGCTGTTATGTGCGTTGTTTGGTGAATCTGTGATAGTTTAAGTGAAGTCGACGGCAATGCCATTATCAAGTTAGCCGTACTTAAAATCCCGCTGTAAGTACAATTCAAAAACCACCCAACATGGATAGGCCGAACAAAAACTACGATGATTCGTATTTGCAAAATAAAATGGAAACTTTATCAATGAACAGTCCCAAGTACGGCAAAATAGGGAACGTTGCCAAGGGAGAGCCGGCCGTTCCGTACCAGGATAAGCCAGTTGGCGCAAAAGACTACACTTTATATCAACGGCAAAATGTGATTGCTAGCTCAAAGTATGCGACCCCAAAACAGCTAGAGACGCTGGGGAGTCATAGGAAGACTCCAGAAGAAAACAATGTCTACGTGCAAGTGGCGAAGCCTCAAGTTCCGCTCAGCGCCAGCCCCACACATAGCTCCGGACCAGTGTATGAAAACATCGACTATTATCCAGCCCATCGATCACAGCAGAGCTACAGCTACAGCGAAAAGGCCCAGCCCCAAGTTCCCATGGGAAGTCGAGACTATGCCGGCGGGGGCCCATCGGTCTATGAAAACGTGCAAAGCTACTACCACAAATCGTCCGGTGCTCAACCAGGGCCTCAAGTACCTTCAACTTATCAGTACCATCAAAGTGCTGTCCCTCAGCATGCAGTGTATTCAGTCATGCATGCTCCCAGATCTCAGAGTTTGACTCCGAAACCCGCCCCACAGTCCCCCACTTATGGGGCCGTCAAGAAGTTTGACTCGCAGATGATGGAGGAGATCAATGGGAGTGATTACGTCTGCATGACTGGAAATGTGTCTCAGACTCTCAGTACTAATACTCAATTTCAAACGTCCACCGCGAAAAACTACGACAGGTATGGTTTTTTAAATTTATTTGGCTGGTTTACAGGTCCCATAGTTAGCTCAGTTCCATGTTATCAGTCGCTGATTTCGCAGCAAATAGGGATGACAACATGCTAATGACTAAGTGGGATGTTGCTGGTTATCTTATCGCTGTTTCTCCGATATTTGCTTCGCCGTGCAGGCGATAGTTATTGATTTGAGTGGTATTCGGCCTTCTATAGCCTTGTATTACAGAAATTCAAAACATTACAATTTCCTTTTGGGTATTTCGCCTCAAAAATGTTTGTCTTTAAAAAAAGACAGCATTTCCTCACGTCTTTTATTACAGATTGATAAATAGTGCTCCTATTTCGCAATAAGAACGAATTATTTATCAAAAACTATCACCTAGATGGTATCCTGCGACACACTTAGGCTCAAGCTGTAAGAGAAAATTCCAATTAGTAGAGAACTTAATTTGAAAAATTACCTTGACGTTTCGATAGCTATTTTCTGCTATCGTTATCAAAAGAACCTATTTTTAATTTAAGTTAATTTTAATTTAAGTTTGAATTTTTTTTAAAGACAAAAATTTTTGAAGCAAAATACCATAAAAGAAGTTTGTAAAAAAATGAATCCGCCTCAACAATATAGAACTTAATTACAATTTCTGTGGCACTGCCCCTATGAAACACTCGGTCTTCTAGTTATGTTCTTCGTGTGGCGTTTCATTGACTATTTTACTGGTCCTTGTTCTTCAATGGATCCCATATCCAAATTTTCAGCTTCAGCCACCAGGTTGAAGTTTCTTCCTTGTCCCCTCTAAAGTCTTCATCTGACTATACTGGGACAGAATGGATTATCTACAAGTAAATCAAGCTTATGTAAATAATTAATTTGTATCCACTTCTTTTCAAAATAAAAACAATTTTGGGTGCCTACATGCATAAAATGTTTATTTCTTTTTCTAGAACTCCAGCCGTTGGGATCGCTCAAACCCCAACCAAAAGCTTATCGCCGGTAAAAGAGGTGAGGAAAACGCCTGTCGAACCCGAACCCAGATCGAAACCAATTGGTAGCCCAACGGGGAGTTTGGCGAGTGGAAGTAGTACAGGCAAGCTGAAGTTTAGTGGCAAAACGCTGCTGCCCTTTAGCGTAACGCCTCCTAGGCCAAAAGGCCCCACTGAGGCGCAGAAGAAGATTGAAGAAATGACCAGGCAGATCGAGGAGGAAATGGAAAGGCAGGAAGAAGAAGGAGAATATTTCGGTAAGTGGAGCGTTTCGGGCGACCAATGGGCCGATTTGAATGGGTGTTCGCTTCCAGGCATTTGTCATACTTGTAAGGAGAAGGTAACGGGTGCTGGTCAAGCATGCCAAGCCATGGGCAACTTGTACCATACGAATTGCTTCATCTGTTGCTCATGCGGACGTGCATTACGGGGCAAAGCATTTTATAACGTCCACGGGCGAGTATATTGTGAAGAAGATTACCTAGTAAGCCCAAATGACAATGAAGTACAGAGTTTTGGTTTTTTATTTTAATTTTTAGTACACACCATCGGCTGCTTCACTCACTATCAGTTTCAACGCACCATCAGATTGATTGGTTTCAATGACTGAAGCAGTCGGATCGTTTTAGATGTTTACATATTTTTATATACTTACTACATAATATCAACTCCAACTCAGTTCAATTGCCATCGGAAATTCTAATTACCTGTTCAACTTTCAGTACTCAGGCTTCCAGCAAACAGCTGAGAAATGTGCAATTTGCGGGCACTTGATTATGGAAATGGTAAGTCACTGCTTTCGCAAAGTAATCGAGACGTTTAAGAGCCACACTTCTAGATATTGCAAGCCATGGGTAAGTCGTATCACCCAGGCTGTTTTCGATGCTGCATATGCAATGAATGCTTGGACGGCGTACCATTTACAGTGGATGTGGGCAGCAAAATATACTGTGTGAACGATTATCATCGTATGTTTGCCCCGAAATGTGCCTCATGTGGAAAAGGTGCGAGTTGCGCTTCAGCTCGCTCAGTCGTTCCCCAACTCAACAGTTTGCTTTTCAGGTATCACCCCAGTCGAAGGAACTGAAGAAACTGTGCGAGTCGTGTCTATGGATAAAGACTTCCATGTCGATTGCTATGTTTGTGAGGAATGTGGAATCCAGCTGACCGATGAACCAGACAAGCGCTGTTATCCTCTAGACGGGCACTTGTTGTGCAGAGCCTGCCATATACAAAGACTGAACCACACGCCCCATCATATGCACCCGGTGTCGGCCACTTTCCAATACGGTGGCTAAGTCACTTCGGTTAATGGTATCCAGACTGTTTGGCTCTCTAGATTTAAGTTTTATTATTTAGTTAAAAACATGCTTTTATTATCACTATATTGCCAAGGAAGCAAGACTGGAAACACATTCCGGAGCTGATTATTTTTTTATTCTTACATTAAGAGGGTTTTTTTCGGAGCTCTAATGGAACAAACAATTAAATTTCCTTACTTATTTGTACAATTGTTTCATGCAGGTTTCGCTGCAAATGGAAAAGTTTTGCCTTCTGCAGTACAAACTTTTCATCTATTAATGTGCAATTGGGGGGTGCAAATGCATCTTTCCAGAGGTGGTTGACGCAACTAAATGTTTTTAAGTATTTTTTTCACTAATGTCTATAGTTTTCTGTGATATATTTTACAACATCCGTAAAACCCGCTAATTTTGCTTCTACGTTCAAAAGCATAAGTTTGAGCAATAAAAATTAGCAGTTTTCTTTCAGTTTATTTATTTTTTAACATGCTTAAATACAAACTAGGCCACAGCTTCCACGGTCTATTCTGCAAGCGGGGGTCTAAAACGTTATAATCCAGTTTTTGCAGCCTGTCCAGGTATAGCGCCACAGGAACGGCTGGAAGCAAGGCGTTTCTTCCAGCTTTTGGCACTTTTCCTGCCAAATTTCGGGACTTTTTCAGGTGCTGATGCGCCCTACTGGCTACTTCATAGACACAGTCCGATAGCTTCTGCGTCTCCTTCGCTCTAAGCACTTGCTCTTGACTAACGTGATGTTTAATCAAAATTTCCTCGGGAATTGGTATGAAATCTAGTCGCTTGCTATGGGGAATAGCTCTGGAAACCAACTCATTACATATAACCCGGAAACCCGTGGAAAAGGACTAGGATTACCGCAGTTGTTGCACTATTCCCTGGGCTTTGCCTAGATGGGAAACTGCGTGATCAGCATCGACGTTTTTCACTCCACAACCCTCCAGAACCAGGTAATAGGTACTGGAAACTGTTTGTTCGGCATACTTTTCCATATCATCCAGCGTTTTCAAGTTAAGCCCATTTATGTTGCTCTGTCTGGCTGAAACTAAGGTCTTTAAATAGCGTCTGCTTAGGTTGACTTTGGAAATAGCCTGAAAGACCCTTAGCAGAAAGTGCCCAGTTGCAACTGTGAAAGTACCTTGAACAGTTCAACCGCCACTGGGTGTTTGGGCACCTGTAGGATATCTTTCGAGTAGCACTTATCCACAGCGTCTTCCCAAAACTTCAACCTCATCAGCCCTATGTTTGATTGAGACACTTGTTCGGCCACTCTGGACACTTCGACGTTGAAGCTTCTGACTGCCACTGCAATGGATCTTGCAGACCCCTTCAGCAGCAAGGTGCACATGAAGTTTTCATAGTCATATTTCCTGCAGAGTTTTTGGGTGTTCAATTAAGTGACCAATCGCCTTTGAAGAGCACCTACCTAATCGAGTCTAGGCAGTAATCAGCTGATGACTGCGTGGTTTTTAGTCTGTGGGCGCCCCTCAAAGGGGGCTTCGCCAGTAGGAGTTTGTTGAAATTATTCATTAAAGGTTTTAAAAGGTAAATATTGCATCAATTAAAAGTGACTTTGCCCTAAAAGTGAGGTTACGCTCAAATTTCCCTAGATCGATACCAACTTTTTCTATTTCCCCCCTAGCAGTTGGATCCCGCTTTTCGGCTGAAAAGTGACTTTAGGTTGCTGTCAAATGGCTGTCAACAAATTGATTATCATCTAGTTGTAGGTTTTTGTTCATCAATTAGCGAAAAAATGCCGAGCCAAGAAGTAACAACAAGCAAAGTGGTGGTTCACCCCTTAGTGTTACTAAGTGTGGTCGACCATTTCAACCGCATGGGCAAAATCGGCAACCAGAAGCGAGTGGTTGGCGTTCTGCTGGGCTGCTGGCGAGCCAAAGGAGTCCTGGACGTTTCCAACAGTTTTGCAAGTAAATAACTCCCATATTAACCGCAATTTCCAGCTTAATTAACCCTGTGAACTTCCAGTTCCATTCGATGAGGACGACAAAGACAAATCAGTGTGGTTCCTGGACCACGACTATCTGGAAAACATGTATGGCATGTTCAAGAAGGTCAATGCGAGGGAGAGGGTGGTGGGCTGGTACCATACAGGCCCCAAACTGCACCAGAACGACATCGCCATCAATGAGCTAATCAGGCGATATTGCCCCAATTCCGTCCTGGTCATCATTGACGCTGAACCAAAGGACTTGGGGCTGCCCACTGAAGCCTACCAAGCCGTAGAAGAAGTGCACGATGATGGATCGCCTACCTCCAGAACATTCGAACACGTCCCCAGTGAAATCGGCGCCGAGGAGGCGGAGGAAGTAGGAGTGGAGCATCTACTACGTGACATCAAAGACACCACCGTAGGTACCCTGTCGCAACGAATAACCAATCAACTGTTGGGCCTCAAGGGGCTGCATTCTGAGTTGAGAGAAATCCGCGACTATCTCATCCAAGTCAGCGAGGAAAAGCTGCCGATTAATCACCAAATTATCTATCAGCTGCAGGACATTTTCAATCTGTTGCCCGACATCGATAAAGTGCAATTCAACAAGTCGTTTTACGTTAAAAATAACGATCAAATGTCCGTGGTGTATTTGGCTGCGCTGGTGCGATCAATTGTGGCACTGCACAATCTCATCAACAACAAATTGACCAACCGAGACGCCGAAGAGGGCAAAAAAGAGGAGAAGAAAGATAAAGAGAAGGACTCAAAGGATAAAGATAAGGAGAAGGATAAGGACAGCAAGAAGGAGGAGAAAAAGAAGTAGTGGTGGACGTAAGTCGAGGCACTTTAAGGAGATCGCTGTGTTTTAGCCTTTTTGCCAAGCAAGCGGCTTTGGGGCAAATAAACTATTTTTGTCAGGTTGGTTTTAATTTGCAAGCACTGATAAACTTACTACTTACTACATGTATTAGTGGCTAAAATTTTATAATAAAAATGCGTAATTTACAAGCACCCAGGGTATGAAGATGTACAAGGCGCTCCCAGGCAAAGTCGGGCGCGCAACAGCATGTGAAAAGCCCACGTTGGAATTGTTGTACGTGGCAAAGTACCAATTGAGGTCCTCATTAGGAGCACTTTCAGTCTGGACGATGGGCAGCATCTTCTTCGGCTCCCGATTGTGCGCCATCGGCGGCAGCGTGTCTTCGGATCGCAGAGGAGCGCTGGCAGAAGACGGCAAACTTGAGGAGGGAATCTTGGTAATAGTGGCCATTTTCTTTGGAGATTGCCCTCCGGGGATCAGGAAGGAGGTTTGTGGAATAGACTTGACTTCTTCGGTTTGCTTCGCAGGCTTTGGAGCCTCCAGAATTGTTGTAGACTCAATTTTCAGTATTGTCGTCGACTCCTCACTGCTTTGAGTGGTCTCTGGCAGGCTTTCAGTGGTGGCAACAGTAGTAGATTCTTGGCGTTGAGTAGAAGATGCTGCAATGGCCTCTGTGGAGCTTGGTGGAGGATGTCCAAACGAATTTTTCTTAGTGTTTTCGGAACTATCAGGGAGTGGCGCGGGTTCTAAAGTAGGCACTGTTGATGGTGTTCTTTGCGGCGGTTTTCCTGTGGCAGCCACTGAGAGCTCAATGGTAGATGCATCATTTTCTATGCTGCTTTTAGTACTCAGTTCCCCTAATGGGTTGCTGATGGGCTTGAAGCCCCCCAGTTCTCCCGGGATCATCGGCACAAACCCCCCTGAAATGGCATTTGAGTCACTGCAACAATCGCAGATCGTAGAGTTACCTATTTCGAATTTGGGGAAAGTTGGGGGCGTTTTCGTGGGCTTGTTAACAATCGCCACTCGATCGTCCATGCGGATCGACTCTGCCTTCATGCCGCCTCGATTCTTCACCGCGCCGCTGAGCAGTTTGCCTATGTTGGGCAGCGGCACGCCGAAGAACGTAAAACCGCTACTGCTTGGGGAGTTGGTTACAGTCTTCGGAACTTCGATTAGTTTGTTTTTCTGAGAAGCATACAGAGTGGGGGTATCTCCTAAAGAAGAAAATGTGTTGATTTTTTTAGGCATATGGTGCACGAGAGCGAATTCGGTCAAGAGTGCTTACCTGCTGTAACATCCGGCGAATTTAAAGCTTTCTCGCTAGAGTTGGTGATTTCCTGCAGCTGCACAGCGGTCTCGTTGTACGGATAATCCACAAAATCATCATAGTCGAAATAGTCCGAGCGCTCAGGGGCGAGCGCCAACGCATTCTCCGAACCGTTTATTGCCTTGAGGTTCATCCACTGGGAGAGAACCTGAAAAAACCTTCAAACTAAAGCGGTTTCAAGTGGCCTCCGCCTACCTGTGCTGTGCCATAAACTCCAGGTGCAGACAGGAGCTCAGCCTCGCAACCAGGAGCCACCAGCTCAATGTTGCGCTCCTCTTCTGGGCAGTTGGCGCGCAGCATATGCAGGTCGCTCAGTAGATAGCCATCAACGCATCTCGGCCCTTTAGCCGTCCGTTCCTGCAACCAGGCCTGCAGCCAGACCATGTTGCAAGAACACGCCAGCGGATTTCCTGCAACAAATGAAAAAGTTTTTCCTGCAACAAAAGTGCTTTCAGTACCTTCAATGTCCAAAAGGGCGATGTTCCTGCGGACACGCTCGATGGCTCTTTCCGGGAAAGACATCATTTGGTTGTCTCGCATGCTCAGGACGCGCAATCGGGGCATGTTGTTGAACGGCGATCCCTGCACGCCGCATATTTGATTGCTGTCTATTCGCAGTTCGACCTTTAGAATGAAAATAAATCACCCACAATTGTCGAAAATTTCAAATTGCTAGTTGCTTTAGTTTGAAAGATTTGATTTTTTTATGCGAGAGCGCAGTTGKGTTAAAYGCATCCAATTTGAGACYGATTTTTAACAASCTGACAAAAARCGGAGTTTTGCGCGKAAATKTTTGAAACTCTCAACGTATTTAGGACCAAGTGTCTTCTAAAGATGGTAAAAATTTCAAATTGCTAATTGCTTTAGATTGAAAGATTTTAATTTTTTTAGGCGAGAGCGCAGTTGGGTTAAACCCATCCAATTTGAGACCGATTTTTAACAAGCTGAAAAAAAGCGGAGTTTTGCGCGGAAATTTTTGCAGCTCTCAACATATTTAGAGCCAGGTGTCTTATAAACATGGTAAAAATTTCAAATTGCTCGTTGCTTTAGTTTGAATAATTTGAATTTTTCTATGCGAGAGCGCAGTTGGGTTAAACCCATCCAATTTGAGACCGATTATTAACAAGATGACAAAAAGCGGAGTTTTGCGCGGAAATTTTTGCAACTCTCAACATATTTAGAGCCAAGTGTCTTCTAAACATGGTAAAAATTTCAAATCTTTAGAAGACACTTGGTCCTAAATACGTTGAGAGTTTCAAACATTTCCGCGCAAAACTCCGTTTTTTGTCAGCTTGTTAAAAATCAGTCTCAAATTGGATGCGTTTAAACCAACTGCGCTCTCGCATAAAAAAATTTAAATCTTTCAAACTAAAGCAACGAGCAATTTCAAATTTTTACCATGTTTAGAAGACACTTGGCTCTAAATATGTTGAGCGTTTCAATAATTTGCGCGCAAAACTCCGCTTTTTGTCAGCTTGTTAAAAATCGGTCTCAAATTGGATGGGTTTAACTCAGCCGTGCTCTCGCATAAAAAAATTAAAATCTTTCAATCTAAAGCAACGAGCAATTTCAAATTTTTACCATGTTTAGAAGACACTTGGTTCTAAATACGTTGAGAGTTTCAAAATTTTCCGCGCAAAACTCCGCTTTTTGTAAGCTTGTTAAAAATTGGACTCAAATTGGATGGGTTTAACTCAGCCGTGCTCTCGCATAAAAAAATTCAAATTATTCAAACTAAACCAACTAGCAATTTGAAATTTTTACCATGTTTAGAAGACACTTGACTCTAAATATGTTGAGAGTTGCAAAATTTTCCGCGCAAAACTCCGCTTTTTGTCAGCTTGTTAAAAATCAGTCTCAAATTGGATGCGTTCAAATTTATGCTCTTAAGAGCGCCATGATGATCCCTCCTGAACTTACCAGCCATTCCATCTTTTCCAAGCTGTTGCTGGACACCGATTTGATCACGTTGTGGCTGACATCGAGCAACTCCAGCGACTTGGCGCCTCTTAATCCGGCGTCCTCAAACGTGGAAATGTCGTTGCTGCTCAGATTCAACATCAGCAAGTGCGGCACGCCCATAAAAGCGCTGGGCGCAATCGATCTGATCCGGTTCTGCTGCAGCTCCACCACTTGCAAGGCCGGAAGATTCACGAAGGCCACATTAGGAACCTCCTGCAAACATTCAAGAGCCCAACAACTCCCGCGGAGGACAATAAATCAACTCACTCTGATCTTGTTGCGGCTCAGGTTGATCGTCTTCAAAACCGGAAGAGATTTGATGGCGTTGGGCTGGATGATTTCCAGCTCATTTTCCTCCAGATCCAGGCCGGCGAGGTGCTGCAACTTGTTAAACCCGTCCTCCTTCAGCTCCTTGATGAAGTTATGGGACAAACGGAGCATTCGGAGCGACGGCAGGCTCCCGAGTATTTCTGGATCGATGGCGTTTAGTCGGTTGTAGGTCAAGTCCAGCATTCTGAGGTGTTTCAGCCCCATCAAAGTGGGCGGCAGTCTCACTATTTTGTTGTAGGAAAAGTCGATTATTTGCAGGTTCCGGTTTTTTTCGATTGTCCCTGGAAGGATTTCCGAGAGCATGTTCCTGGAGAGATTGAGCCGCTTGAGGTGCGGGGAGAAGTGGAGGGTTTCTTGCATCAACAGCTCCAGCCGGTTGTCGCCTAAGTTTAGCTCTCTTAGCTCCGTTTGTTGCCTGAATGCATTGGGCATGAGCCGGGCAATGCCATTCTGCGCCAAATCCAGCGTTTCCAGTCGGGCCAGCCCCTTAAAGTTGCCGTCTTCCAGTTTCTTCAGCAGATTCTTGCCTAGAAGCAGCTTCCGCAGTTGGGCCAACGCGCTGAAGCCCTCGATGGGCAGAGTGTGGATTTTGTTCCCGCTCAGGTCCAGAGCCCTCAACGCCGGCAGCTGCAAGTCCAGACTGGGGGCCGAAGGCAGCTGAGTAATAGCGTTGCTCTTCAGATGAAGATACTCGATTCCTCTAGGAAGGCCTGGCACAAACTCGCCGAGGATGTTGCTGGAAACGTCCAACTCATACAAGCTTAGCAAAGGGCGGAAAGTCGCCGGGTGCAGGGCCGAAACGGCGTTGAAGGAGATATTCAAGTTTTCCAGGGACGGTGTGAGTGCAAAAGCTGCTGGATCGATGAAGGAGAGCTCGTTGCCGCTGAGGTCCAGTTTGCGCAAACTGGGCAAGTCTTGTAGGAAGTTCGGCTCCAGTTTCCTGAAAGCATCCATACAGAAATCAGCGGTCCAGCACTTATTAGGGGAGGTTAATCAACCTGAAGAAGTTATCGGACAAGTCCAGCCCTTTGAGCTCCGGCAGGTTCCAAAACGGGTACTGGTGGAGATGGTTGGAGAGCGAGTTGTTCTTCAGCCTCAGCTCTCTTAAGGCCGGCATGGCCACAAAGGCCTCTCGATCGATCAGATGAATGCGATTATGGTCCAGATTGAAGTGCTCCAGGGTCGGGTGGCCGCGAAGCGACCCAAAAGGAATGGCTTCCAATTGGTTGTAACTCATATCCAGAAACGTCAGCCTGATAAGAATTCACATCCCCCATAGCAAAATGATATTCCCAGAATATACCTGGAACATTCATGTGATGTACATGCATATTCCTGGGACATACATGAGTTCCATTATGCACATTCCAAGTATGTCCCAGGAATCTGTCAGAGTTAATACACTGAATGTTCATGGTATGTTCTGGGAATGTACCTGGTATGTTCAGTGAATATACATGCGTATTTTCTGGGAATGTACATGGTATGTTCAGTGAATGTACATGTGTATGTTCTTCAATGTACCTGGTATGTTCAGTGAATGTACATGTGTATTTTCTGGGAATGTACCTGGTATGTTCAGTGAATGTACATGTGTATTTTCTGGGAATGTACATGGTATGTTCGGTGAATGTACATGTGTATGTTCTTACAATGTACCTGGTATGTTCAGTGAATGTACATGTGTATTTTCTGGGAATGTACATGGTATGTTCAGTGAATGTACATGTGCATGTTCTTACAATGTACCTGGTATGTTTAGTGAATGTACATGTGTATTTTCTGGGAATGTACATGGTATGTTCAGTGAATGTACATGTGCATGTTCTTACAATGTACCTGGTATGTTCAGTGAATGTACATGTGTATTTTCTGGGAATGTACATGGTATGTTCAGTGAATGTATATGGTATGTTCAGGGAATATGCATCCCAGATAGCACAAAATATTACATACATATTTAGGAAATATTTATATGTTTGCTAAATATTTCAGATCAAAAGCAAATATTTCTTAAATATTATTTTTTAAATATTTGTTTCTAATATTTAATTAGCATGAAACAAATAAGTTATTAATAATTTTCTTATTACATAATACTTTTTGTACCTATATGTAACAACCTTAACACCCAAAAAGTTACTAATATATTATTTTTAATAAATGTGAACAAACTTTAGAACATATTATGTGAATTTTCATTGATCAATGAATAGCAAATATTTCAAAGCAAAACGAAATATTTTTCAAATGTTATTTAAACATTCTATAAAAAACATTTGTTTCTAATATTTAATTAGCATGAAATAAATAAAATAATAATAGGTTTTCTTAGTACGGCCACTTTCAACTTTTTGCTCAGTTTTTAACTTTAAATGGTCAGGTTTTCCACAGTAGACTGCTTTATTATGTAACATA